AAACTATTTATTATTTAAAGTCAAAGTTTAATTTTACCAAATCAAATGTCTATAATGTATTATAATTTATTATATCTAATTATAATTATTCTATAAAAATCAATTTAATATATTTCTAAACTTTCTTTTGACACTTTTATGACTGATTAGTTTGTTTTTATATTTGGTTAATATAATGTTAAATATTTGACATCCAATAATAAATCCACAATCTAAATGTTAAGTATATTAAATATAAGAATAATGTGGAATCTTTTAAATTGAATTATATTGATTATTTTTAACAATGATGTTATAAATGTTAATAAAAATTTATTTTACAAAACAAAAAACATAACTCGTATAAACACAATCATCGATATGTTTAAAATAGTAATCGAGATCATAATAAAAATATTGTGCTTATTTGGTTGCATATACCAATTGGCAACCATTAGCCATAAGTACTATTCCTATGAGACAACCACTGATGTTATTTACGAACACGAATTGGCCATAAGTTTGCCATCCATTACATTATGCATAGCGAAGGTAAGCCTATTAAATGACAGGTCATATAAGCAACTGTTTGGTGGCCAACAATTCAATGGCAGCGAAGAGAAATACATGAAAATATTGGACTATATTAACACAATGACCATAACGGAACAATTTAAGGCCCTAGATTACCCAAACACAATACGCCATGGGGTTAATTGTACGGTTCGAACACCTCGAGCGTTTAAATTGGGGTTGACTAAACCGGGACAATATGTTAATTGCAATGAGATTACACCCATTCGCTACTCACTAAGCAATGAATACTATTGTATGACATTATTCTCGCGTATAAACGGCGAACCCATCGATAGGTATGAAATTGTTAACAAACCCACAAAACGAAAACACGGCGACTATTTGGTGAACCTATCGAATAACACGGTAACCTGGATGTCGAACATGCACATTGAACATAATGAGCATAGGTTGTTTGAACCCGAAAAACAAGGCTCAAGGGTTATTATAGCAAAATACCTGGGCATAACAATTGAATACCAGTTGACCAAGGTTATTTTGTTGCCTGAGCCGTACCGGTCGGCATGTATCGACCGCCTGGCCGGTCAATCAGCGGCCGATTGCATAGTCCAGTGTCTAATCAATACACAGGTTAATCGCACCGGTAATTATCCGTACGATTATCTGACTTATGATAACACTTCTGGTCTGCGTTTCCGGTCCTATGATGGCAAACGAAAGTCGTCACACATTATCGATAAATGTTACAAAATATGTGGCGGTAATCAGGAATGCTATCGCGAATACTATCAAATTGTTCGGGAAAACAAGTACGAAGACTGGACACCTGGCAACGCTACCGCCGATAATGATGAATACGCTAATAACTATAAAAACCTATCAATGGATTTTAGGTTTATGTTACCAACACTGCCGGCCCTCTCATACCGAATGCAACCAAAGTTTTCATTCGGCGAATACCTGTTGTTTATCGGAAGTATTTTTAGCTTATGGTTTGGCCTATCGGTGCTCTCTGTGGGCGGTCTAGTGGTCTCGTGTGCGGCCAATGCACACAAAAGTCGCATTAGTCATGTGTTTAAAGTTCATGCGGTCAGAAATGTTATGAAGGTTAATCGGTTATTTAAGCCAAAACAAACAGTTGTTTTACCGTTTAAAAGTAATTTTCCTACGATAACAGGTAGCATATCTAAAATCAATGTTAATTAGAATAATGTCAATTAGCATGATGACATTATACATGTGTCCATCATTTTTGTAATTTATCATATTCACATTTTCTTTATTAAAAGTAATTTATTTGCATAATGTCAAGGTTTTATTTTATAAGTCAAATGTTTATTTATTGTCAATGAAATATTTGTTTACAGTAACAGTTTAAATACAGTTTATAAATTCGTTTAATTATAAGACTAAAAATCAAGTGTACCATGTTGATGTATTATTTATGGAATATATGTTAACAAATTACATGTAAATCTATTATCATTATTATTATAATTAAATAAATTTAATGTTATACAATTTTTGTTTATCAAAATATGATGTAAATAAAATTCAATAAGACTAAAATAATAATAACTTGCTATCTAAATAAACGTATATTTAATAGTAATATTGTACGTTAAAACAACAGAATACATACGTACATTAACAAAATCAATATTTTATTAATTTTGATAATACAACTTCACATTTATATTTATAATATTATATCTAGATAATAAAAATAATGTCGAAACTAATTCATATCACCTCAATAGCAGTGTGTTTAATTGGATGTGGTGTACAATTAACCAACATCATTTACCACTATCTATTATACGAGACGTATACCGACGTGCAGTACGTAAACGAGTTAACAGTACGCTTGCCATCGATCTCGCTATGTTTGGATAAGGTAGAATTTTTAAATGACGAGGTATATGAACAAGTGATCAAGGGCAAACACCATGCTGATTCTGAGGCCGAAGACACAATGATCGCCAACTATCTCAACAACATGACAATCCAGGATCAATTTAACTCGTTGAAATATCCCAACGATATACTACAGGGTCTCAACTGTACGGTACGGCGACCGCTAGCGTTCAAACCGGGCGCCGAGGGGTCATACGAAAGGTCGTACGTGAATTGCGCCGACATTGCGCCCGTTATCTACTCGCTAAGTGACGAATACTATTGTGTGACGCTATTCACGCGCTTCAACGCCGAACCGGACGAGGGGTACGAAATTGCAAACAAACCCACTAAACGCAGGTCACGTGACTATTTAGTGGCCGTCACCAACAATACCATGGGCTCAGATGTGACTGTACACATACTGGCCAACACCGATCGGCTAAACAAACCCGAACAGGAGCGGTCCAACCTGCTTGGCGCTGGGTATGGTAAAATACTCATCGAGTACCAATTGACCAAGGTAGAGTTGTTACCTAAACCCTTTCAATCGGCCTGCCTGGAGCGTCAGCACGTTTTGAGCCAGGGCGATTGCGTGGCCGCCTGTCAGATCAGGGGCCACATTACAAGCTCAGGTGTCTATCCGTACCGTTTTCTGGCCTACGAGCGTAACTCAACGCTACGGTTGGCCGACAACCGACTGCCGCCACAAATACGTGAGAGATGTCATGAAGAGTGCGGCCAAAGGCAAGACTGTTATCGCGAGTACTATCAGATTGTGAGGCAAAATAATTACGACCCTGTGCCGTTAAATACAAATGGTACCCAAGACCCCAGGCCAATTGATATATGGTTTGTATTCCCAACATTACCCGTGTTGTTTTATAAAATGCAGCCCAAATTGTATCTTGGTGAATTTCTGGTGTTTTTGGGAAGTATTTTTAGCTTGTGGTTAGGTTTGTCTGTTTTATCAGTTTGTTATGGTTTGGCTCAATGTTTGGTAAAAGTTTATAATAATGTTTGCAATTATACCACTTTTGGTAATAATTATGTAAAAAATGTGCTTCATTTGAATTTGAATAAGGTGAATGTTATTAAGCAAGATAGAAAGGTTACCATTAACAAGTGGGTCAACTAGGTCACAGGCATGCAAATATAATTAACATTGTCATGATTATAATAAATGAAGTTTTAATTATTTTATTTTATTTTAATTATATTTGAACTATAATAATTGTTTATTGTAAATTAGTGTATGTTGTATTGTTTAAAATTGTATTAATTATAATTTTTATTTGAATAATAACCAAAGACATCGATGGGAGTGAAAAAAGCTGTAATCATCACTCAGACACAACTACATATATTTGTATCGTTACATACAGATTGTGATAAAGAGTTTAATCCGGAGTGCAAATGTAAGGATGTGCAAAGCATGTGATACACGTTACATACAACACACTGTTAAAAGTTATAATTGATCAGTATTTTATCGTTGATTTTACATTAATAACTTAAAAATATTTTATTTTATAACAAATAAAATAACATTTTAGTTATTGATAAAATTATTGGAAAATTATTTATATTATTACTAGTAGATTATTTAAATAAATAATACAAATTAATTTTGATAAATATAAATTTGTAATACCAAATTAATTATGTTATTAATTTTAATATTTATTAAATAAAAAAGTTTGTGTAAATATAACAGCAAAATATTTATCTGTTAAAAATTAATCAAATAAAATGGAAAATATTTTTTTAATGATACAAATATTTATTAATATAATAATAATATTTTATTTGTATTATATAATAATTTGTACATTTATTTATTTGTAATATTATTTATTTATAAATATCAATTAAGAAAATTAATTAGCTAATTAAATATTCTGTAGTATAGGCCTGGCCAATCTTTTTTAGCATATCACAGATACAGATTCACAGTATGCCATAAAAAGGTGGCGCAACGGTAAGTAAAAAAGTTTAGGTTTGTCAGTATTAAACAAGATACACCCCATGAAGGTCAACCTAATAGTTTCTCATCCATTTTTATAGTGGTTGGTTGTGTTTTGTCAAGTTTATGATATTTCTAACCCCTCTCACCCCCAGTATAACCATATATGAATTCAAAAATTATTTATTTATCTTAATGTTTAATGTGTATAATATGTTCATTTATTTGAATGATTAATAATTTTTAATCAAAACTTTCTAGCTATAAATGCAATAAAAATTGCTGAAAATCCTATTTTCACTTCAAAATGTTTCTAAATATTAGTATAAAGTGTTTTATAATTATATAATACAACAATATAATTTATTAAAATGCAATTCTAACAGTACATGTATAAATACAATGGACTAACTCTAACTGTAAACTCGTAGACTTGTCAAGGATATTCAGTATAAAGCACTGATTAATTAACCTTGAACATATTTGAGTGACACACAACAATATACTTATGATATCACTGATTATACGAGTATATAAATACCGCAAAGAATTAATGATAATATCATAAGCATTTGTAAAACATAGTAAAACGTTGAGAAAATTTAATTAAATAGAAATGTCTGTTAAATACGATTTCACGGGTAAAGTAGTGTTGATAACGGGCTCGAGTTCGGGCATCGGTGCGGCCACTGCTGTCCAGTTTGCCAAAGCCGGCGCTCAAGTGGTGGTCACCGGTCGTCGGGCCGACAAACTCGCAGAAGTGGGTAAACAATGTCTGAAAGTATCGCCAAAAGGGATTAAAGCACTGGAAGTGACGGCAGATGTGACCAAACGGGAAGACATGCGACGACTGGTCGACCAGACTATCAAACATTTCGGTAAACTTGATATTCTCGTCAATAACGCCGGCGCCTCTATTGTTGCAAAACCTGATGATAAGCAGTATTACGAGATATTCGAGAAAGTAATGGCAATTAATCTCAATTCTGTGGTCTATTTAACGCATATATGTGTCGAGCATTTGGAGAAAACTAAGGGAAATATCGTTAATATTTCGAGTGTCGGCTCAATGAGAACCGTAAGTGTTATAAAGTTTTTAATGAATGATTAAATATAATGATAAGTTAAGTAAATAAAATAACATGATAACAATTATTATCGGTTTGATAGGTACCAGGATTTTCGCCATACAATGTGGCGAAGTGTGCTCTCGATATGTTCACCCGTTGTATGGCAGCCGAGTTGGGACCCAAACGCATCCGAGTTAATGTTATTAAGTAATTATAACAATCACAATAACTTTATAACACAGAGAAATCTAACGTGTATATTTTGTTTTGTCAAACTAGCCCTGGTCCAATACGTACTGGGTTTGCCGAGGCAATGGGGTTGACCAAGGACGTATCGGATGTTATTTTTAATGCATACGACAAACTTGTGCCAATTGGTCGGTGTGGTTTTGGTGATGATGTGGCCGATAATGTGCTATACCTGTAGAGTGACCATGCTGCATTTGTCACCGGCACTAACTTTATTTGCGATGGCGGGTGCGCTGCGGGCAATGTTATCAATGCCGATGCGTTGCAAGAAAATGTGTAATTAAAATTTGCTAAATTTAATGTGGTTTTTGAGATTATAGTTTTTAATTAAAATTAAACTTTTTATTATTTAATTAAAGGTGTTATAAATTTTAGCTACTCAAACTTATTAAAAAATTATTCTCTTCAAATTTACTTATAATTAATAGTATTAATAAAATTTATCATAAAATTATTGTCACTTAAATTTCAAATAAAAATCATAAGAATTATAAATATAATAATAACAATTATACTACATGTACTTAATAATGTATTTATTTGTACACTTTATAATATTGTACAATATGATGTAATGTAGTATGTTCAACATAACCTGTAATAAATATTGTACGTGCAATAAATAAAATAATTACAATCATTAGAAAAATATTTACCTAATTATGTTATTTATATTTTAGATCTTGTTAGTACAATTTGTATAATAGTACAAAATAACATTATATTGTATTTATCATAAATTTTATTCTAAAAATTAAATAATTTATTAGACATAAAGGTAGATAAAATAAATTAAGCGAATTTCACTTAAACTTACAATAGAAATATTATTTATTTATGTCAATTTAGGCTTTGAATTAACTTAAAGTTGAGTTACATTTAATTATTGTTTTAATGAATTATTCGTGGTAACATTGCCTGCCATTTGACCACCGTCTACCAGCAAATTAGCACCTGTGACAAACTGTGCATGGTCACTTGACAAATACAGTATAGCATGGGCAATATCGTCGACAACGCCGTGTCGACCAACCGGTAGGTTTTGGGCATATGTTTTGTATAGTTTGTCAATAGCATCAGTCGGCAAACCAATCGACTCAAAGAACTTGGTCCGAACGAGTCCAGGGCTAGTTTAGAAAATAATTAATTGTTGATATAAATATTATTTTGAATATTTAAATGAGCATGCGATTTAACCTAATAGTGTTAACCCGGATGCGTTTAGGGCCCAACTCGGCTGCCATACACCGAGTAAACATATCCAGGGCACATTTTGATAGACAGTACGGTGAAAGGTTGGATGTCTATTAAGTAATTTGTTTAAATGTTAATTTCATTTATTATGTTATATGTATTGTTTTATAAATGTTACTATTTAAATATACGGTATAAGAAAATAAATAACTTACGGCTCGTAATCCGGCGACACTTGAAATATTAATGATATTTCCTTTAGTTTTCTTCAAATGCTCGACACATATATGCGTTAAATAGACCACAGAATTGAGATTAATTGCCATCACTTTTTCAAAGTTGTCGTAATAGTCGATGTCGTCAATACGGGTGGGAATCCCGGCGCCGGCGTTATTGACGAGAATATCAAGTTTACCGAAATGTTTGATAGTCTGGTCGACGAGTCGTCGCATGTCTTTCCGTTTGGTCACATCTGCCGTCACTTCCAATGCTTTCAACCCTTTCGGCGATACTTTCAGACACTCTTTGGCCGTATCTATGGGTAGACGATCAGGAGGTCCGGTGACCACCACTTGAGCGCCGGCTTTACTAAACTGGACAGCAGTGGCCGCACCGATGCCCGAACTCGAGCCCGTTATCAGCACTACTTTACCCGTGAAGTTGTATATAACAGACATTTTTAACAGATGTTATTTAAGAAAAACAAATAGACTAGATTTATCTATAAACTTTAATTAAATAATACTTTTAATGGAATTTTTAAAATAATTAATTTTTAATTTCTAAAACGCACAATATTCAAATGTTTAACTATTCACATTATTAATATATCAAGATAATCGAGTCTATTGTCTATGTGTTATTATTATTAGACATCTGTTAAAAATGTCTGTTATATACGACTTTGCGGGTAAAGTAGTTTTGCTTACAGGCTGAAGTTAAATAAATTTTATTATAAAATCATAAATTAAAATACTCTATAACATTAATTGAGATCATTTTGTTAAACAAAATTATATGACATGATTAGCTTAAAATTATTTTATTTATCTAATTAAGCATTTGATTACATCTACCAAGATCGTAAGATACACCACCAATAGTACCATAATTACAACATTAAACTTAAACTCCATTAAAAAGTATTATTTAATTTAAATTTACAAATACATCTGTTTCATTTGATTTTATTAAATAACATCTGTTTAAAAATGTCTGTTATATACGACTTTACGGGTAAAGTAGTGTTAATCACGGGCTCGAGTTCGGGCATCGGTGCGGCCACTGCTGTCCAGTTCAGTAAAGCCGGCGCTCAAGTGGTGGTCACCGGACCTCCTGATCGTCTACCCATAGATACGGCCAAAGAGTGTCTGAAAGTATCGCCGAAAGGGTTGAAAGCACTGGAAGTGACGGCAGATGTGACCAAACGGGAAGACATGCGACGACTCGTCGATCAGACTATCAAACATTTCGGTAAACTTGATATTCTCGTCAATAACGCCGGCGCAGGACTTAATGCCAGACCAACTGATGAGGACTTTTACGAAAAATACGAGAAAGTGATGGCAATTAATCTCAATTCTGTCGTCTATTTAACGCATATTTGTGTCGAGTATTTGGAGAAAACTAAAGGAAATATCATTAATATTTCGAGTATTGGCGGAAAGAAAGCCGTAAGTATTAAAATACAAATCAAATAGTTTGGTTGAAGTAAACTAATTATATTAACCCTTTATAAACTTATAAATTATTTTTTAACTACAGCATTTAGATTTTGCCCCGTATTGTATGGCAAAGTGTGCGGTGAATATGTTCACTAAATGTATGGCAGCCGAGTTGGGCCCTAAGCGCATCCGGGTTAATGCAATTAGGTAAGTTAGCCAGAAACATAATAATTATACAACAATATACACAATAATAAATACTCATATGCATATTTCAAGCCCGGGGCCGACGCGCACCGGTATTGTTACAGCAATGGGCGCAACACAGGCCGAGTCCGATAAGTTTTTTGATGCCTTCGCTAAAATAATGCCGGTCGGCCGCTGCGGCTTGCCTGAAGATATTGCTGGTAGTATCCTATACCTGGCCAGTGACCATGCTGCTTTTGTCACCGGCACCAACCTTGTTTGTGATGGCGGCTCCGTTGCCGCCAATGCACTCAACACCGATAGTCTTAAGACTTTTTATTAAATTTTTATAAATTAACAATTTTACAATAATAATTAGTAGTAATAATATTAAAACTAAATTATATTACTAATAAAATTGTAAATCTCTCTTTCTCTCTCTCTCTCTCTCTCTCTCTCAATCTTATCAGCAACACGAATTGTGGTTAACAACATTACTAATGTTTCAATTTTGAATATTATTTTTTAATAAAATTAATATAAATTAAGCTTTTGGTTTTACTGTATTTAAAGTTTTATTGTTTAATTTATTTTATATTGTATACAATATTACATTATATAACATATTTGAAAACAAATTTCATTAATTACAATCACTTCAGTACTCACAATTTACCCGTCCCATTAGTATTGTCCAATTTATTGCAATTCTCTTTAATTATATCATTTTATTTATTGTTGATCATTGTTTTTTTAAAATAATTTTTTTGATGCATTGTCCATTTTCCAAAGTAACATTGGCAGCCATGCTACCACCGTCCACCAGTACATT